ATCACAGAAAACTTTCTGCATTTTTACATTTTCAAAACACAAAACACGGATATTGTTATCTTTGTGGGGACACTTGGTCCCCATGAACCCGATCTCACGAGCAATTCGTACTAATTTGTACGAGTGGCTAATTCGTAACAATTCATACGACCTGACTCGTATGAATTTGTACGAATTTGTAGGATTTTTGCTAAATCGTACATATTTTACGAATTCCAAATTCGTATGAATTCATACGAATGACCTACCCCTGACCCCGCCCCTAAACCTACCCATCACGTGGGTTTAGACAAATCGTACGAATCCGTACGAGTGAGTTCGTATGAATTCGTACGAATTAGCCACCTTTTAATCATTCGTACAAATTAGTACGAATTGGTCGTGAGATGGTTTACCAGGCCACACACACCGTAATTTGAGATTGTTTTAAAAGCATGTTGGGAACAGCAGTTGGGAAACCCAACAATGTTTTTTTTATTCCTGAAAGAAGAAGAAAAAAAAATAATAATAGGCTAATATATATATTATATATAGGCTATATATATATAGCCTATTGCCTGGCAACTTGAATCCTGGCCTGGCAAGTAATCCAGTATTACATTTAGGCATATATGCCTAAATGTAATTTCATACTGGATTACTCGGGTAAGATAGATAAATGTCTGATGAAAGAGAAGAGTGATCTTGATCTTGTGATTTGTTCAAGTTGCCAGGCAACAAGCTACACGAGAGTCGCTCACAGAATAGTAGAACATCCATTATCACTAAAAGTTCTTTATTTCACCGAGTTACCGATTGAAGCTACAATGTGTATCCTGTTTTTATCGAATTAACCTGTAGTATTTTACCCAGCCTTTGTCAATAAAGCCTCGTTACAATGAAGAGTTCAGCGTCTAATGGCACAGGGGGCAGTTTGTTAAGAATGCGAGACTGAGCACGGTCGCAATATGAATGAAGGGTCACCTGTGAACATCTCTGTTTCTCTGTATCTGTCTGCCAGGCTTCCACACATCTCACTAAAGAGATATGGAGTGAGATAGCATTGGTAATTCATGTAGGCTATAAGAGCCAACGGACACAGTCTATGTGAGAGACTGTGCTCGTGAACACACAGATGTCATTTCAGGTCCCAAGGCACGTTTGCAACAAGATAGAAGAATCTTCTGTAAAATCCATAATCTCACGTAGCTACATGCAGAGGAATGTGCTCATATCAAGACACTCGGAAAGCAGTAGGCTACAAACAATAAATTGTTAAAAAGTTATAAATGCAGTTATAAATTAAGTGCGTTATTTTCACTGTCATTTCACATTGGTTGACATATCTTTATATCCTAAAAGAAAGATTCCCTTGCTGCAACTGAGAAGTTCCCAGTGTCACGGTATAGATGTAGAATTGTGTATTGAGGCTTTTGTCCAGTCCTCCGGGGTGTCTGCAGTGTGTCTAAACATATGCGGTCACGAGGAGGTCACGAGACGTGCTGCTGCGCCAAAATGATTAATGTCATCTTTTCTATAGAGAAATGCCATTCGTAGATTAACGTTTTCTGTACAACATGGTGAGTGCTTTAAACAGGCATTTACTGGCATAGAATATAAATACTAGTAGCCTACCTGAAATCCTATTTTTAAATTAAGAAGCCTAAATAAAGACACGCTGGTTATTAAACCCTTGCAAAAGCAACTTGACAACTTTATTTTTGAAGGAACAAAGATTGAAGTCCAATGACTTTTTAGACAATCATTCATAAGGTGTTTAGATAAAACGTTAGAAAGAAACATGAAACTAGCATTTCAACATGAATGCAAATAAGAAGTTATTGACACAGGTTATAGTAACATTTTATTTATGATTTATTTTTTATCTTGAATGCTGAAGTAAAATGTGTTATTGGTGCGAGGAAGTTATGCTATTACTCTAAAAGTCACTGTCAACAAGGCAGCTTTAAAGAAATTCATATATGAATTGTATTCATCTTTCAGTTTTCCTTTATTTTTTCCCAAAGTGGACTAAATTCACCTGACATGACACGTGCACTTTAAAGAACAATGTAAACAGTTATGAATAACAGAATTAATAGAGCAATCGACTCTATCAAGTCGAGCTCATAAGTTTCAGGAGGACTTGAGAGATCTTTCTAAATTTCACTCTTTTAATTTAGGTTCAGATTGTGAAGATATAAAACTATCAGAGGCAGGCCCATTTGTATGGATAACCGACAACATCCTTTGTTCATCAAAATGCTTTCCTGGAATTACTCTTATTTGTCCTAACCCCCCCCCCTAAGAAAGCCAAAGAAAGAAACCCATTTTCCCATTCGTTAAAACTCTTTAATCCGCAATACAAAAAAAAGTCTCCAAAATTTTGGGTAATGTCCTCACCAATTGGAGTTATGATAGCAAAAGAGCTCGTTGCCTCATTCCCGTTTTTATCCTCTTTAGAGAGCCTATCTTTGCATGAAATGGTTAAAGCGATGTTATTATCGATGTTTTATGCATCTGTTTGTGTCAGCAACCACAAGAGCGCAGAAGGTAGGGAGGAATTATAAAAGGGTTGACACCCAGAGCGACCGGCGCGCTTTTGTGAGAGAAAGAAAAATGATTTATTGCCAGCAACGTGGTTCAAACAGAGTTCACTGAGAATTGTAGTGTACCGGCGGAGGCGCTGAGTTATGGTCTTGCTGAGCCACTACATCAAAGATTCCTTTTCAGATTTAGTGAATGGACCCAGCGGCATGAGACAAGGGAACAAACTTACTTTAATTAGAAAATTCCCAAGATCACAAGCGACTTTCAAACAATAAGGGACGAGTTTGAAATCTATGAAAGGCACAAGGGGAACCATAAAAACCTGCAGAATAATAATTCTAATAAAAAATAAAACTATAACCGCCTCCTGCACCAACGGTTATAGGGTTCCAAATATCACTTCCAAAAAAATATTAATAAAATAGAAAATGCATCGTAATAGTTTAAATAGCATTTATTGAATATCTAATTCATATGGAATGAGTACACTTGCATTCCCTGCACACTCGGGCGCAGTAATATTTCATGTTAATAGCGCTGCAGCTCGGCAGAAGCCGGACTTGTAATATGCATAGTGAATGCTTCTATTTGACATGGCTTGTGACAGCAATTCACTGAACTCAAAATAACAAATCGTTCTCAAAAAAAGATTGATTTTAGCGTCACAACCGGAGAGGGTAGCCCCATGGCTCTTTGATCATCTTCTTTAATAAACAGTAGGCCTCATATATGAATGGTTATGATTTGACTAGTTAAACTATTCGAAATGAGAGACAAGGCTTTTAAATTGCTGTCATGCTGCCATTTACACGTCATTGTTTTAATGCAGTGCAAAGTAATCTTGTACATGTGCTAGGATTGAGATGGCCATTATTCAAACACAAACCTGGCCATACTGGCAGGCCTTTCTTGGCGTCTTGGAAACTCATTGAACAGTGTATTATATTAAACATTCCCTGAAAAAAAAAAAAAAAAAAAAATCCCTGCAGGAGAAAGAGAGTGAGTCGTTGAGGCTATCAGTCTTTGTCTTCGAAAATACGCCAGACATGTTATTGACAGCACTGAGTGTCTGAGTAAATACTCAAACAAGACACTGTTGAGAGTAAATGAAAAGGGACTAGTCCTTGGGTTTCAGTCCTTGTGCACAATTAATCACTAGTGCGAGACAACCGCTGTCCACATGCAGCTTATGTAAAGGAAGGGTGTTGTCTATTATGTTCATTTCTGACTGGGTAGGCCTATACTTACTTCAACGCGACTGCTAATGTTATCGGCATGCAGTCGTTTTAATTAGCACAACAAGAATCCTTACCGTGTCGATAACCTTTAGGTGTCTGAAATACGGAGATCTGGGCAGGTTGAGTGGAAAATAGTCAACGTTCTGATGGAACCCTCTTCCGTCAGCTTAGGCTATATGACGTCAGAGAGGACAAAGACTAATTCTGTTGCGAATGCAAGAGTTTTGTGATCAATTTGTAATTATTTCAAATGACTTTTGAAACTTGTTGGCGCTGGGTAACTTGTTGTTTTTAAAGACTTTCCCACTGCCCTAAAATGTCGTCATTATACGCCAAATCTGGGCTGTTCCATGCTCTTTGTTCATCAAGACATTGTTTTAAATAGTCCTCTAATGCGATTCTTACTACATCAACTTTCAAATATTTGTTTGGTTACCCGAACTAGCAAATAACCATCTTAGCGACTCTTTTCTTACACTGCCAGTTAATTTAAAAAAAAAAAAACTATCATTCCAAAGATTTTTTGACATGCATTGTCAGTACAGCAATGACAGTCAAAATCCCTTTGTTTGACCACACCCATTGAATCTCTTGATGTCTTTTTTACCAGGTAAAATAAGCAGAAATCTCAAAACACGTCGAAATAAATTGTATAATAAAAACACTATTTAGAAGCCTATTCAAAAGATCAGTTTAACCTGTGTTGCAATTTCATCACACATCAGAAAGGTTGTTGTTATCCCTTTTAAAAAACATGCGGAGAAAGACAAACAATGTATATTGCAGAAATATTTTATTCACAAAGAAGCATTCCTGAAGCATTTATCTACATGGCTGTTTACGACAGATTACAAAGATTAAAAAAAAATATTTAAAAAAAAATGTTAAGACACGTGGAGCTGTTTTTACAAATGAAAACAGTTACATGAATAATTACTTATCTATAACGGAAACAAGTCGATTATTTTTTAAATACCTACCACAAGAGGACTGAAAAGTAAGTCAAGGTTTCAAACACTGTATATTATAATACATTATCACGGAAATTAAGTCTGTATTCTGCAATCCATTGTGGCAAAACTAAAGAGACGCGATCCCAGACTTGCGTGTCTTTTCTCTGTCCAAATGGGTCTCCGACTCCCTCCCACCTCTCAATCACGCTCTCTGAACTCTTGTCAGCACGGGAACAGGGTTATGTATGAGCCCTGCTCATGGCTTTTCGTCTGTCCACAGGATAATCATTCGAAATTGTAAAATAGTTGAAGAATGCGGAGGAACCCGGAGTCGTCGTTTGGTTGCTTTCGAGCACTTTACAACTCAAACAGCGAGCGTGCGAGGCTATTGGAGGAGGCCATCACGTGACTGCATTGTTTACCCTTGTTGGAAAACAATTAAAGACGCGAGTGAGTGTACTTTTATGTCTTTCCTACACCTTGTGTGATCAATTACTCAACCCGAGTGATCAGGACGGTTAGAGATGCACAAGAATTTGTTTCACGACTTTCACATTAACAATGCAGACTTGAACAAGATATGTTGCAAAAAATCTCATATTTTTTCTATGGAGCAACATTTCTCCCCTTGTGCTCTACAGGAGAGCAGTTCTGCGTGGAGTCAACATGCTGAAGAAAATTCATCAAAACCTTATGAAGGCCATATTTGGAATTTTGAAGAACTCTCTCATATCCAACATCCCTATTCATCCTCTGCGGATGCCAACTACCCTACGAATGAAAAGATAAACTCCTTGGACCATGCGAGTGCTACTGAAAGAGACAAGAGATGCAAGCTGCCAACTTCCTGCTTTCCAAGCAAGAAGTACCCCTGGATGAGAGAGTCACACACACCTATAAACTTCAGCTCCATTAAAGTCATTGAATCAGGTGAGAGAACTCGTTTTTGGAGTAAATGAGGTATATTGATTTGTATTGCTATAGAAACACGTAATCTAATCAGTCTGTCATATTTTAGTCGATAATGAATAACATCTGTGTCAGATTTGGTTCTATGTAAATGTAATTAGTCACTTAGACACTGATGTCAATGAATGACATCATTGAGAAATACAGTTATTAATCAATTATTAGTGTTATCCTTCCCCCTTTAATAGAAAATGAGCCCATAATTACAAGCAACATTTCAATCTTGACTAATAAAGGTGGTGTTTACTTCTAGTAAATTCATGTAAGAATGTGTCTTAAAACTGAAGTTTTATTCCGATCATTTCAGTTAATTTATTTAAATATGTTTATCAGTCCAGTCCATCAAGAACACACAAATCTTGTCAATGAGCTTATTGCTCATTGACAAAAACACAGTTATATATTTTAAGCATATGGATTTGATATGGTGTCTAACAGTTTTATGATGTTTCTCTGTGAAAATGAGACGCATAAAAAAGAGAATTTCTAAGGAAAGTAATATTTTCTAGAGACCGCCAGTTGTTCTGTGAACTTGATTAAGCTTAAACGTTTACTAAGGAGCAGAATAAAAAAAAAAAAAGAGCCTACAGTGGAATTTTTTTTATTGTCTGAGGCTATGCTTTTCTGGGTCACACAGATAAAACTGATTCACTCCTTTTAGCCCAAGCCAAACTCTTACATGCACACACTAGTGAATAAGTTCTACAAAACATATACAATAATTAGTGAGGTGATATAGCGAATAATGTGCTTGGTGTCAGCTTGAAAAGATAGCATTGACGTCACTACTTGAACAACTTTTTTGATAAGAAAAATCATTAGGGAATCTAACAGTAGAACACACGGAATGGATAATTAACTTGGTGATTCTGCCCAAAGACAGTGTTATAAGTACACCGATTTATCATTGAGGGTTTAAACTTGCAGCTGAGCATATTCAAGGATGTCATGCTACATTTTCATCATCCCAGTTTATGCTTCAGAGAGATTATCCTATTCAACACGGTTAAAGGGATAGTTCACCCAAAAATGAAAATTCTGTCATCATTTTCAGTTCTGGGGCACCTTTGGCTTTTTTTTTTAAACATTCTTCAAAATATCTTCCTTTGTGTTCAACAGAACAAAGACATTTATACAAGTTTGGAACAACATGAGGGTGAGGAAATGATGACAGAATTTTCATTTTTGGGTGAACAATCCCCTTTAATAATTTGGGATGAGAGTTCTTTTCATTGACTAAACTTGAGAATCAGTCTATTTTTGACAAATCTTGGCCCAGTTTCACAGACAGGGCTTAGATTAAACCAGGATTAGGCCTTAGTTCAAGCTTTTATAAAATTGCCTTTACATTTACATTACTGGTGTGCATCTTGAGACAAAACAATGGCACTGACATATTTTAAGATAGTGCAAGTTCCTTTCAGTTAAAACAGCTCAAACATGCACTGTAGTCTGGGACATGGCTTAAGTTTTGTCTGTGTGTACCTGAACACTTGTGCATGTTTTCCAGGTGATTCCAGGCACAGCAGTGGTGAAGCAGGCGTACGGGAGAGCAGCTGTTCTAACAGTAAACGGCCACGTGCAGCATTCACCTCCGCTCAGCTGCTGGAGCTGGAGAAGGAGTTTCACTTCAGCGCTTACCTGTGCCGCTCACGGAGACTTGAGATGGCAGCGCTGCTGAAGCTCACTGACCGCCAGATTAAAATCTGGTTCCAAAACCGTCGCATGAAGTATAAGAAAGACCATAAGGAAAAGTCCTCTTACCCCTGCCTGGAAACAGGTAACCAGCCCTTTGCGATTAGTTGCAGTGCGGTGGATACTCCAATGCCATTAAAATTCCAGTACCACTACGAGAGACCATCAGTGATGAACTGTGCTCAGAGCCACTAGTGAAACTACAGGAAATCCAACAACTAGGGACTTCTGCTTTCAGCATCCAGCACTAAAGAATGACTCACATAATGACAGTGACCTCTGCCAACCCGTTTAATAAGTGAAATACAAATACAAATTCTACACAAAATATGCTGTTCTGTTGCTGATCAGCTATTTCCCCCATTGTAGCTCTCTCTGGCATGATTTATATATAAGAAAATTGAAGATTTATTGCCCCTAGATGATGATTTATATGAAAAGTTAACTTGGAAGAGTTCAATAACCAAGTTCGCTTTGAACCAGATTACATGTTATCAGCTTGTACATGGTGTATCAGAGTTAGTCTCCATTGTGCATAAACTGCTGTTGTAATATCTCTGCAAAGCGCCAAGATTTATTGCACACGGATGTAAGCCCACTTGTACAAGTTTATCTCTTGGGCACAGAAAATACTATTTTAAAAAGGGCATTCAAGACTTTGAATGGTCATTAACATCCGCTCAACTTTTGTAAGTGCGCAACATATTTTTATTACTCCCAAAACGATATGCTATTTTTCCCAAGGCATGTGCTGAATCTTTTAACTTGGAATGTTGTTGATAATGGCCATGTTAAATGGCCATGAGTTTGACTTTACCGTTTTTTTTTTTTCTGTTTTATAGTACTGAAAGTACTGGTCATTTAAATCTGAATTTATGGTGTTTTGACTGACAAATGAATCTGTCACAATGCTAAGTCAATGCCAGAATCCTTTATTTGTTTTGTTTTTACCTATTCATGTAGTGTGAACATGACAGAGCTGCAATGTAAAATGTGTATATTATATATGTCTAGTTCTTATCTCTTGGCCATATCGGACTAAAAGCATGTGTTTGAAACTGAAAAGTGGTTGCTTCAAACTGATTAAATCCCTCTGTATAGTTAATAAAGGTGACTGAATAGCATGTAAATGACAATAATGTGTTCATTCTGCTGTTTTTCAGATTTTTTTTCCCTTTGTTAATTTGGTAGAAAGAATTGAGAACCACTGAGAGTGAATCTTAATTTAGCTTAAAGTGCTTCTGTGAATTTTACTTTGATACTTTTTGAAATAGGCAATACTGTACTTTGTATTCTTAATACATAACCTTACATATATGCCTTCCTCCGCCTCCGCCTACCAACCTCGCAACATTAATCATTTAGACAAGTCTCTCTCTCTCTCTCTCTCTCTCTCTCTCTCTCTCTCTCTCTCTCTCTCTCTCTCTCTCTCTCTCTCTCTCTCTCTCTCTCTCTCTCTCTCTCTCTCTCTCTCCTCTCTCTCTCTCTCTCTCTCTCTCTCTCTCTCAAGCACAGCCGCTCAACCCGCTGGGCCTAATGACAGGCAGTGCACTTCTCTTCCAACCTTCAAGCACTCTTCTTCAGTATGGGTGCTAAAGCGCAACCAGAGAAAACAGATTTGGCTTTCTCCTAAAAACAGAGTCTATTATTACATTTAAGCAAAATTGGACTACAGCAACGTTCCCGGTGAAGAAGCCAAGGCTTGTGGGCACCGCCCCTGGCAGGGTCGGCGATAACTCATTTTGATTAATTATGTTTAATTAGGACGTCGCCGTGTGTCATTTTATAAGCTAAGCACGGAACAGCAAAATCTACCTTTTCAAAAATATTAACTTCAGCTGAAATTTGAACTAATTGAGCAATTTCAGTTTGGCCAATCTCAGTCATTCTGCGTAAATCAATCTAGACCCAATATAATTAGTAGCCTAACTTAGTAACCTTGAGTGGTTCTCAACCCCGCTCCTGGAGGGTTCCAGGACTATCAGCAACATTGCACAATTAATCATAGATTTAACTATATTCTCAGCCTGGTTTACAATGCAGTATTCGTAATCAAGAGGATGGAAATAGCCCTTTATTCCATTCATTCTGATTAAAGGTACAAATGACTCTGTAATGAATTGTTGAGGCTAAATCACAGATGTAAATAAATAATCTGATACAGTAATTTGCAGATAAGTATGTGAACATTTCTTTATACAAGTGTCCGCGAGAGAATGAACACATGCTGTAGCTACTGCTGAATTTACCATTCATCACCACGCGGCACTGTTCATGCAAAATAGGAGTTGGCCTCCCGGTGGCCCCTTCAGTGCAACTGAACGGAATGCTGAGTGCTTTGCTGTATTTAAAGGTTCTCTAAGCGATCCTGGGTGACGTCACTTCTTGTTGACGTTCGAACTATTGTCAAACAAAACGGAGGCTAGCTAGACCCTCCCTCCTCCTCATCCGCACACTAACCCCCCAAACCACACCCCCAAACCCTTCTTGTCGGTCATTGGCTGGAACAGTTTGTTATGTTTTGGGGAGCGGGTCGCTGCAGTTTGTTTTTGGTGCTGTTTGTGAAGCATGGGCTGTCTACAGAGATCGCGTTTCTTTACAGTGTGTTCAGGGGACAGGCAACCAGCGGATAGTGAGGAGATGTTTGCTGTATGTGACAAAAAATGTTTTGGCCTAAAAAACACATGACATCGCTTAGAGCACCTTTAACCTGCATCTAACCTACTACTTGCTTAGTTACAAAGGATATAAAACTTCTAAAAAGGCAGAGAATATCAATTTAAAGGTTTTTAATAAATCATTATATATAGTATAGCCTACATGTATTGCATTATTCTATAAACATATATTTATAATAAAAAAATATTTAGTAAAACTGTTTATCAAATGTAATGTAGCTAATATATATATATATATATATATATATATATATATATATATATATATATACACATTTAAATATACCATATATAAATGTACCGTTTTTAAAATATGCTCCTTTTTGCAAATGCTCTTAATAAAGAATTAAAATTATACATACATTTATATATATATATATATATATATATATATATATATATAACCCACATCAACCAATTGATCGAGTGATAATCAACTAATCCCAGCAGTGTCATGAAATGCGTCTCTATTGTGGTGTGGGGTACGTGCATATTATACGTTTGGGTAGGATTAGTGGTGTTTGCATTTGCGTTTATCGTTTAATTTAAACGCGAAAATTAGTTTTTACGTGCATATGATACGCACTTTATGGCGTATAAAACGCACGTACCCTATACCACTAATCCTACCCAAACGTATGATATGCACGTACCCCACACCACAAATCCTAAGGGGGTTTACAGTGCGTATCATTTGCACGTAATAACTAATTTTCGCGTATAAATTGCACGATAAATAGGCTACAATGCGTGCTATAGACGCATTCCATGAGATGGGGTTGATGTTGGATACAGCCTTGCATGAAACATCTTATCAAGATCTTTGGATTTTCTTTGAAATTACAAGCCGGTTAATTAATATTAAAGGGACAGTTCATCAGTCATTAATTTACTCACCATCATATCATTCCAAACCCGTAAGACTTTCGTTCATAATCGGAACTAGGGCTGCACAATATTGGGGGGAAATATCGATTTGCGATAATTGTTAAATGATCCAACGGCAATTCGTACGTATTTTAAGAGGTGGCAAATTCGTAAGAATTCGTACAATTTTTGCTGAATCGGAAATATTTTACGAGTTGCCCAATATAGTCGTAGGCCTTTCGTATGAATTCATGCGAATGACCTACCCCTTACCCGGCCCCTAAACCTACCCGTCACTGGGGTTTAGACAAATCGTACGAATTCGTATGAATTAGCTACCTTGTAAAATACGCTACGAATTGGTCGTGAGATAGCATTGGACATATTCGATATGCGACACGATGCTGCTTTTAAGTATGTAAAATAAATTTAAAATATAGCCTATTTAAATATGTTTAAATGAAAATAATAAAACCAACATACACTCACCTAAAGGATTATTAGGAAAACCTGTTCAATTTCTCATTAATGCAATTATCTAATCAACCAATCACATGGCAGTTGCTTCAATGCATTTAGGGGTGTGGTCCTGGTCAAGACAATCTTCTGAACTCCAAACTGAATGTCAGAATGGGAAAGAAAGGTGATTTAAGCAATTTTGAGCGTGGCATGGTTGTTGGTGCCAGACGGGCCGGTCTGAGTATTTCACAATCTGCTCAGTTACTGGGATTTTAACGCACAACCATTTCTAGGGTTTACAATGAGTGGTGTGAAAAGGGAAAAACATCCAGTATGCGGCAGTCCTGTGGGCGAAAATGCCTTGTTGATGCTAGAGGTCAGAGGAGAACGGGCCGACTGATTCAAGCTGATAGAAGAGCAACTTTGACTGAAGCATTTGTGAAGTCACAACACACACAACCTTGAGGCGGATGGGCTACAACAGCAGAAGACCCCACCCGGGACCACTCATCTCCACTACAAATAGGAAAAAGAGGCTACAATTTGCAAGAGCTCACCAAAATTGGACAGTTGAAGACTGGAAAAATGTTGCCTGGTCTGATGAGTCTCGATTTCTGTTGAGACATTCAGATGGTAAAGTCAGAATTTGGCGTAAACAGAATGAGAACATGGATCCATCATGCCTTGTTACCACTGTGCAGGCTGGTGGTGGTGGTGTAATGGTGTGGGGGATGTTTTCTTGGCACACTTTAGGCCCCTTAGTGCCAATTGGGCATCGTTTAAATGCCATGGCCTACCTGAGCATTGTTTCTGACCATGTCCATCCCTTTATGGCCACCATGTACCCATCCTCTGATGGCTACTTCCAGCAGGATAATGCACCATGTCACAAAGCTCGAATCATTTCAAATTGGTTTCTTGAACATGACAATGAGTTCACCGTACTAAAATGGCCCCCACAGTCACCAGATCTCAACCCAATAGAGCATCTTTGGGATGTGGTGGAACGGGAGCTTCGTGCCCTGGATGTGCATCCCAGAAATCTCCATCAACTGCAAGATGCTATCCTATCAATATGGGCCAACATTTCTAAAGAATGCTTTCAGCACCTTGTTGAATCAATGCCACGTAGAATTAAGGCAGTTCTGAAGGCGAAAGGGGGTCAAACACAGTATTAGTATGGTGTTCCTAATAATCCTTTAGGTGAGTGTACGTTTCACATTCTATTTTTAAGATAAAGAAGCATTCTGTGCACATAAGTAGGCTACTTCGCTTATTGCACCTAATAACATTAAGCATGTCACACATAGGCTATGTAACATTCACGTGTCCAGTCTATGCTGTCTGCTTTGACCTAAGCCTTAGACCTTTCATAATCTTTTTAAGTATTAAAATCATTCAGTTATCACAAGTCATTGCGATATGCATATTGCGATAGGCTACGGTATGTACATTTGCGATTTTCCTATAATTTCGATATATCATGCATGCAGCCCTCTTCAGAATACAAATTAAGATGTTTTTAATGAAAGCTGAGAACTTTGTTTCTCCATTGACACCCTACGCAACTACCACTTTCAAGGCCCAGAAAGGTAATAAAGACATCCTTAAAGTAATCTATGTGACTCCAGCGGTTTAACCTCAATTTTATGAAGTGATGCGAGTGCTTTGTTTGCGAAAAACCCCCAACTTAATTTATCACTTTATTTACAAAATATTAATCTCTAACACGCATTTACGCAAAACGGCTCTCGTGTCAACACAACATGCAAGCTTCATGACTGGTGATGCTGTCATGAACCTGCGAATGTGTGTTGTATTGACGCACGAGTCTGCTCTGGAGTCATCACAAAACGCATGCGTCGTAAATTATGTTTTTTGAGCAAACTCACACTCAAAAGCACTCAGGTCACTTCATAAAATTGAGGTTAAACCACTGGAGTCACAAGGATTACTTAAATGATGACTTTACTACCTTTCTGGGCCTTGAAAGTGGTAGTTGCGTAGCTGTCAATGGAAGGACAGAAAGTTCGGTAACGCTTCCTTTTACAGTACAGTACTTACGTGTACTTAGTGTACTTACCTAGAAAGTACTGGCTAATATAACAACGCTATCTCAC